ATACATAGTTCAACAAGAACCGTGCAATTTCTATACGAGTGTTTGATCTCTGATTTATCTTATATGATCACACATATTTCATGTTTTGTATACTAATATAAATCTGATGATTTCTCAAAAACTGCAACAGTTTCTCAATGGAAGAATCTTATAAATTAGACGTGAAATCATATATACACACGTGTTTCACATTTTTTGTGAAATAAAGTTACGACTTGTTTATCTATAAGTACAGAATTCATTTTATGAATTTAATTTTCTTTTATATATATTAGTAACAAAGATAAATTGTGCTACTATATATTTATAATACCAGTACCAGTCAAAATGATTGTTGCAAGTTTCTATAGAGAAATGTTTGATGAAAGAACCAAAATAACAATAGACATAGATCGAATGCGTTTATCGCCTACTCTCTTATTGACGACAATGCATATTATTTATCTTTATTCTTTATTACATTTTAAAAATGCAGATCGCGGAATTATTACTACATTTTTACTAACAAAACAGTTGTTTCGAGCTTTGTTCAACATATGAATAAAATTTTATTCAAAGTGATTTTCAAGTGTGATTATTTATTCTTCTTGTACACTGATACAAGTAAGTAATATTCACGTGGGTATAGAAATTTTCAAAAATATATTCTGGAGTGAAAAGAAGACTATAACCGGAAAAACTTTCATGGTTTCGACTTATTTTTATAACGATTGTCGGTCTTCAAAAAAAGAATTTAAAGACTTTTTTAACTTCCCGAAGTTTATGTTTTCGTAAAAAATCAGATTCGCTAATTTTATGTTTTCTTGACGTTTCAAGCCATTCTGAAGCGAATGAGACCGAATTTTAAAAAAGTATGTTTGTGTATGTGTGCGAACAGATTTTTTGCCATAAATCGACGTTCTCTCAAAAACGGCTGGACCAATTTCAAAGATTCAAAGGCCATTCGATGTATCTCGATGAGGATTATCGTTTCTCAGTTTTGTGCGACGATCGGCTGAGCCGTTTCTTTGCAATTTGTAAAAAAGTGTTAAATATTTCGTCCACATTTAAGCTCATACTACCGAATCGATTTTAAAAAATCAAAAACTTTTCGAAAGATATTAGTTGGTAGTGATACTGATTAGTTTTAGGTGAAAATCTACCGAGCCGTTTTCTTGTAATTAACTGTTGAAAAAAGCCGATTTTTATGGAACTTTTTTGGCGATATATCATGGTCTTAAAGAACTTACTGAAATATTACGGGCTTACAAAAAGAAGTTTAATTTTAAACATTTATCAAAGATTGAGAAAATGAGTGTTTTTTTGACGTTTTTTAAAATTAAAATTAGACGATTTATTTGGTATAACGATAGAGTACTTGGTCTTAATGAACATACTAAACCATTAAAGTTCTACGGAAAGTGGTTCAATTATAAAAATTATTGATTTGTGAAAATTTGCTTTTAGAAAATTCTCCGAGTTAACGTATTCGTTCGTTTTCAATTATGTGTAATAAATCCACTCGAAATAAATTAATTTATTTTTTATTGATTAAGTCGATTATTTACACTAATCGGGAAGTTCATGTAACTTGCCTCAAAGCAAATTACCAATACCAACTAGTTTTAGCTAGGTTGGAAAATGCCATTAGCGGATCTTTGAAATGTTTGGATCTAGGATTTGAAATATATGTTAGTACGGTGAATTTCTAGATAAACAAATGAAATTCATAAGGCAGTGCTATTATCGACTGTAGTGATGGGGAAATTTCGTGATAGAGACAATCCTGATGGATCAAGTACGATAGTAAAAAGATAGATATCACAAACAAACGTATGAGACGTTACGTGCGACATTCTTCCAGTTCTGAAGACGAATTTCGAAGTAACGCACCAAATCAGGAACTGAAAATGGTTTGGACGAAACTATTTGGACAAGAGTTGTAGTAGGACGGTTTTCAGGAAGATTAGAAGTTCTAAGAGCTTTCATCTCAGACATACCTAAACCAAATTTATAGAAAAAATCCCCGGTTTTTTAATTCCTCGTTTATTAATATATTAGTATATGTTTCTTTTACACAATTTCACTGTTCAATAAATTTTACATAATTAATTTTTTCTGTTGTTTTTTTTGGCTTGATGACACACCCAAACGGGGTCGCAACCCATAGTTTAGGAAGTCATACTATAAAGTATATTTTAGCATCGCTCTGCCCCAGTACAGAGGAATTATCGTAGCACCCTTTACTCGCCCTCTAGAATTGTGTGTAACTACCTGTGGGGGCTAGTAGCATTATATACGTATGAAAACCAGGATTTACTTGGTAATTAAATCTATAATTAGAATTCATTTATAAGCATTTGTGGAAAATGACTGCCATGCTCCTTATCTAATTTTTATAATTTCTATTATACGCTATTGTGGTATATGGGGAGAATAGATGTAGCTTACAATACTTGATCTGATCTTTAGCTAGACCTGCCTTCTTATGTGGCACATCTACACTAAAGTTGACTTCTAAGGAGGGCTGCTTTCACTCCTCGGACCCCAAGAATCTGTATTACGCGTAACCTGCGTTTGGTAACTCTTCAGGCGATAATATCCAATGTCGTCACAATATTTTTTGACATGTGCAATACCAAGCATAATTTAAAAAGTAATGCCTAAACTACAACTTCAATGAGGTTTTTATGAGGTTTATGCAGTAGTCGATCGGAACATGTGAATCAAAATCATATGGCAATTTTCTCCATTAGATTTGTCTACGCCATTCGCATATTTTTCAGTTCTGAATTAATTCAATCGCTAAGTTCGAATGACTTGAATTATATAACAAGTCATACAATTTGATAGACAGTCGCTTGATTGCAATATACGGCAAAGAACCGAGGACATTTTAAATCTATTGTTATTTACCTGTAATGTTGTTATAATACCTACAACATATTCATGGTCACACTGAAAATCCATTACTTTGCCACGCGAATAATACATCAGAGCATCTCTATATTATATAGAGTTAATTGCATAAAATAATAATAATTTATAATTATGTAGTAGCTCTTGCATATTTAATTAATAACATCAGCTAATTATCCTGTTATTTGTTTTACTTTTTAGGAATCTGTAACCGTACAAAACATACCGTGTTGCCCTATCTAGTTCGTTCCTTAGTTGGTCTCAAAATTTTCGGCAAATAGATGGACCGATTCTGCATAACAGATTAATTATGGCATGGCTATGTTATCAAGAACTTGCCATATTATATATTGACAAAAGCCATGTGGTTGCTGTGCAGTCAGGCGTTTTTCTCAGGTTGTCAGATAGAAAATCTAACCTAGAAACCGCACAAATGTCAAAAAACGATCTTAGATAACAGGGTCTTTCTCACTAAGCTTCATAAAATACGAGTGACGTTGCAATTTATGTGTAAAACGCCTGAATGCACTGCAAATACATGACATTTTGACAGTATTCAGTATGCATAAGTTGGAGCATAACATGGCCTTGCCATAACATTTTTCTGTCATGCGGCCCAAGAGAGTCGTATTTAAAGTTTACCATTATTATTTTCAGTTAAAAATAGGCAAATCATTTTAATAACTTTTAAGATTATCATGATTTCAGAGAGTAAGGTTCTTAGCTGGTATCTGTGTTCAAAACTTTGTTTGAGGGTCCTTAGAAAGAGTAAAGATTTATCATACATAAGAAAAAAAGTTATAAAATTAAAGGAAATATTTATTTGTCATTATTATCTATCTGCAACTTTTTTCAAAATTTTTACCGCCAATTCAAATTAAATATGCGTATTCTTTTTGCGTTTTTCTCGGCAAACTGATTTATTAAATCATTCATGATGACCTTTAGTTGTTCGTTGTAAACGCACGATTTACGCAGGGAAAAATTCTTTAAATTTTGAAATAGAAAAAATATTTTTTTATCAATTTTTGCATACGTTGGAGGCTGCTCAGGTGATCAGGGTCTCGTAAAATTGAATGTGCAGATACGGCGGTAGTAACCCCCACTGATTTACACTCATTCATGTATTATATCTACAATAGTTAATTAGAAGAAATAATAATTAAATGGCATCAAGTTCACTCACGTAGATTTCTACGCATTTCCATAGAGATAAACTCATTGTAGTAAATTTACACTTAACATAGTAGATTACTGGAGTAATTTACAATCATTAGAGTAAATTCACAATCAATCAATGGAGTAGATTAGCACTCACCTAGTAGGTTTACAATCATTGTAGTAGACTCATTCTAAGTAGTAAATTTACACTCATTCAGGAATTTTTCCATTCATTGGAATGAAATTACAATCATTAGAGTAGGTTTACATTCATTGTAGCAGTATTGCAAATTTTTGAGAGTAAATAAAGCCAATTTTTTAAAAATCTGTAAAAAAAAACAGATCAAGAACGCATGATGCATATAGATAAATATTACATTGAAAGAATATTGATGTGAATTTACATTTAATTTATGTAAGGAGTTTGATTGATTGATTGATTGTAGCTTAGTTTTATTAGTTTGCGAAAAACTCGTAGAGCATTAGAAAGATATTTTTTTAAATAGTGAAGAAAAACATCTGCATTAAAAATGATTTTATTTATATCATATTTAATACACTACGATGTCATGGATAAAAGAGAAATAGTAAAAAAGATGGGTGATATAAATAAATAATTAGATAAAAGTTTATACATAATTTTAATAACAATAACTTATTAAATATTGACAACATAGTATTTGCAAAAAATTAAAATGAAATTTATATTATTTTTTTTCATATTTTTATAGTGTAACATATGAATAAAATAATAATGTTTAGAACAAAAATTACAAACTAATTATAAATACTTAAGATGTGTAAATGTACACAAAAATAAAATTATTTACAGATCACAATCAAAGTAATAAAAACTCATCAAATATATCATAATAATTTATATTATATAATACTTTTATATTATATGCTATATTAACAATAATAAATACATTTCATCCACACTAGGTCATTCTACTACAACAGCTATTTTGCCCAATTGTAGTCGTCTGGCCGTTGATAGATGCATCTCCGCTGTCATATCTAGGCAGTTCTTTACTTCTAGCTTGCTACATGTTGGATAATTCATAAAATTAGTTGATTATAATTTAAGGAGTTTCACTATAAGAAATATTACCTCCATTAGTTCGGCAGCTATTTCAAGAAACAAGCGTTCTACATTATCTGCTTCCTTTGCAGAAGTCTCCAAGAAGTACATTTTATGTTGATGTGCAAAATCCTCCCCAACATGGGTTGGAATTTCACGATCTTCACGGTCTATTTTATTGCCTGTGAAATAAAATATTTGAGTAATAAAGTTCTTTATAGATATCTTGGAGATTGAATTTAAAGACTTTTTGGGCAAAGGGTAAAAATTGAATAAATCTGATAATATATATATATATATATATATATATATATATATATATATATTAGATGGTAGATCCTTGGATTTTTAAATTTTGCAGAGCTTTGAACAAGGAATCCAAAAAGTAATAAAAAAACATTTGTTTAAACAATAAAACAAATATGTTTTTTATTACCTTTTGGATTCTTTGTTCGAAACTCTACAATATATATATATATATATATATATATATATATATATATATATTTATATGTATATATATCTATGCAACTAGCCTTTACTTTATTCTGTATATTATAACTAACAAATTTTAACTAATGTATTTCATAGATCATCAATCAAAATTGGCAAGATACAAGCAGTCAAAATTTTAAAATGTTAGGACTTCATTTGTAATGAATAAGTGGATTCTCTAACCTACCAACTAGAACTTTAAGGACTTTGGTACTAGCATATTCTTGAATTTCACGCAACCAGTCAGGTAAACAATCAAATGTAGGTTGACAAGATATATCGTACACTAAAATAAGTGCATGTGCTGAGCGATAGTAGCTTTGTGTTATGGAGCGGAATCTTTCTTGTCCAGCTGTATCCCATATTTGGAGCTATGGAGGAAGAATATAAGTGTATAAGATTTATGTGAGTACGCATGAAATAATTATCAACAACTAAATTACCTTAATTTTTTCATTTTCTATTTCCACACTCTTTATCATGAAGTCAACACCTATTGTGGCTCCTTGTCCCGGAGGGAAGAGCCCTTGGGTAAATCTTCTGACAAGGCATGTTTTGCCAACACCTGCGTTTCCTACTAACACTACTTTGAACAGAAACTTGTAGTCCTCCATAACATGGCCAAAATTATTTCACCAAATTTATGTTTCTCCTATTGTTTTCAGTGTAATGATGGACCACAATGAGTAAAAAATAAAGTGACAAAGTAAAAATCGGTTTGCAATAAAAAATATGTCGAACAAAGTAAATAAAAATATTTTTTGTATACGTACCTGGATAGGTACGTATCAGGTGTTCTACCTATAATAAAATATCACTGTTTTTCGTAAAACATAATTACTTTGAATCAAAGTCGTTTAAAATAAAACCACGGACTTAAGAAGGTCATTTAACGTTGATCTAATTACAGAATTTTGTTAAATATGGCACGATATTTAATAATTGCGAAATTTAAACAATGACATTACGACCACATTACACATAATGATTTGACAGCAGTTTGCATAGAGGTATTTTTCTTTGTCACCTGGAGGGACAACTAGCGCTCTCTATTCATTTGCATAATGAGTGATTGTAATTAGTTTGATATATTAATTAATACTGTACTCGTCCATTAGTAGCGTACGTGTTGCAAAATTAATTTTAATGTTAATTTTCGCTAAAATGTCGACGTTAGAAAGATAAACAATACATCGGCAGCGCCTCTAGCGGCCGACAGGAGCACCAGTGGGAACGGTGTCAAACAAAGTTAAATAATCTCATTTCATTCTCAAGACCGCATTTTCCTGCGTATACACGCATTAATAGTATCAGTGAAAATAACAAATATGAATTTATACAATTCTACCGTTTGCATAGACAAAAAAATCAACCTGAGTGGCTCACCAGATAGTGTTCTATATAAATTTTAGCAGAAAGTGCTTTGTTATCGTGCTTTGTATTATACAATTTCTAAAAAATTAGTGTCCATAATGGAAAAAGAAAATATCAATGGTGTTGAAATAATGTGCAATACTAAACAAGAATTTCATTTCAAAGTTCCCCCTGAAGCACCAGTGTTTGAGCCTACAGAAGAAGAGTTTTTAAATCCACTCGCGTATATCAACAAAATTCGCCCGATCGCCGAAAAAACTGGGATATGTAAAATCAAGCCCCCAGCTGTAAGATTATTTTTTTAAATTTTAAAACTCGCTTTAAAACTATTTTTTACCTAACACATTGGTGATATTTTCAAATTTGTTTTGTTCGATGCATTTAGTTTTAAGAATATTTTTTTTAAATGATGAAATGTCGCCATTTATCTATAATGCCTCCGCACGTAATTTGTAATACACGATAAAAATGTTTTATTTAAGGCTTGGCAACCACCCTTTGCCGTAGATGTTGACAAATTGCGATTTACTCCAAGGATACAAAGATTAAATGAATTAGAGGTAATTTTTTAAATTTTGCATGCTCTTCACAGCTCAGGGTAAACTGGCAGATTATCATTTAATTATCCCAAATATGTAAACATCGAAATCCATTTATTTAAATAAATATTTGAAAGATTATAACATTTTATATGCATGTACCAAGTTTCTAGAATTTATGGATTATGCATATACATTTCTATGCCAGACCAAAGTTTCGACGCGTTCCCATACAATTGCTTCTCTAATTCTTCAATAGATAAGGTTTCGTTCGTGTTTTACGCGACTAGTTTTTTTTTTTTAATAACCCAAAAGTTTAAGGTTTTAATAATTCGAGAAATTTCGTGTGTATAATTTAGTAATATTTATCACTCAACAAAAATAAAATAGCACAGAAACATTTTTTACACTACTTGCAATTTTTTTTATCGTGTTTTTGTATAATTTTGTTTGCTACACTCGATTATAAATTATCAAATTGTCAAATTATAGGTAACAATTAGAAAATTCAGAATAGCTGAAACAATTGAATAGCATCGGCCATATGCGACCAACGTCATTAGAGGTATGCATGTGAATAAAAAAATTGTACTAAAATTTAATCTGTACGGCCCGGTGATAAAAATGTGTGTATTTTTTTTATAATTTGGTAGCACTTTGCGTACTGAAACAAAATATCTGATAAGAGCAATTCTATTTTGTAATAAAATATTTTTCCTTTATGAATTATAAAAAAATATATTATCCAAAGCGCTAGCATTTTTTTTTAGTTTTAAATTTAATATTTAATGTTTACAATTTTTCTCAGCTTCGTTTATTGCAAATCAGAAGCTAAAGCGACATAAAAATTATAATATTTACATGACTTTTGACAGCCCATAAGAAATGTCGAACGTAATCAATATAAAAGGCTTTCACGAAAGCGAAATCAATAAAAAAATTTAGTTCATATATCTATATAATGGGAATTATACAATTACATCTAAAACTTAAGTGAAACTGAATATTCTGTTAATTACTTTAACATATCATAATATATTAAACAGCTCTATTTCGCGTGAACGTATTGTTCTACTTAGTAACACAGTGCTGGAAATGGCTTCTATATGTAATATTACTTTTTTATAATCTAAAACAAGGAATTATTTAAAATAACTGCGATAATTTATCTTTTTCTTATGAAAGTGCAGAATAATTAGTGTTAATCGTAAATGTCAAAAGGCCGATCTTACCGGGAATTCTGGAAGCAGATATGTTCTGATAAGGGTTGTTTGTAATATTTTAAACCTTTCTACTCGAATGCCGTCGGCGGAAAAATAGTTATTAATCCTGCAATTAGCGAGTGGAAAGGGTTAAGTTAATAACAAAATCATTATCGTTTACGATTTACCTTTTTTTATTGAACGATCTCAGTTGCACCGATTTTTATAAATCTTCTATCTTACATAGAGTCTAGTATCTTGTATCACGCCCCATTTCTAGTTAAGCAATAATAGTTCTTGTACTTCGTTGACCTTTTGTATGTTTATACTGCGATATACCTGTATGTTTATAATGCACATAAACTATAAAACAATTATATAATAGATATTAGTTATTAGTATGATAGATATTAGTCGTTTAGATAATTTTTTAAGAGAAACCAACTCATGTATCTTTTGTTCAGATTCGTCATTCAATTGTTTTTGCCGTACACCTCCATTTGCTCATGCAACGAAAAGCCAAATAATGCAACGGAGTCGCCTGAAAAAATACGTGCAAAAACTTCGTGAAACTGAAGCAACTTTTATTTATTTATCAATTTAGTACTTTTTATATTATTTTTCTATTATAACTTATAATTAAATTATAATGTTATCCCTTTTGCTCATTGTTTTATTTAACAGATCAGATTTCAGATTAAATTGAATTAAAACTAGTGGTGCATGGCATCGTGCTGGAACTTCCCGTTCTGTAATAGAATATTCGAAGAATATCAAATGTTTCCAAATATATTATTATAAATACCGTAATTATCATTATTCGTATTTTATAGTCAAAATAATCGCGCTTTTAAGCTTGGGAATTGGACGACAACGTTTATATATGTTTGTAAGATAAGTTAATAAACTTATTTTAAAAATTAAAATTGTAAGAATTATATAAACTGAATTGCAAAGTTAAAATTATTTATTCAAAATATATAAGTGATGTTTAGTACTTTAGCTGTAATTAGAATTAAAATCCGAATTATTTTCGATATTCAAAAAAAATTCTTTGGAAATTAAAAATAAAAATCTTTCCCTTTCAAGCAATCGTTTCGTCAATACGAATAAAAAGTTTTTTAAATCATTCAAATCGGATGCTTAGTTCTATCAATTTTTTCTAAGGTATGCCAAAATGTTCAGAAAACCTGAAACGTGAGGATACTCAAAAAATTTCAGTTTCGATTTTTGGCCCATTGCTATAACTTTTACCCTACGGGAAGTTAACTAGTGGTGTATGGCATTATGACTTAATGCAAATTGCTGGAACTTCCCGTACCATAACGAAATGTTCGAAGAATATTAAATGTTTTCAAATCGATTATTATAAATTATTTAACATGGCCTAATATTTGCAAGAATTATATAAACTGAATTCTATGTTAAAATTATTTATTTAAAGTATATAAGTGAGATTAAGAACTTTAGCTAAAATTAAAATCCGAATTATCTTCGATATACAAATAAAAATTCCTCTGGGGGAAAAAAATTGAAATATTTTTTTTTCCAAAAGCAATTGTTTTGTCAACACAAGCAGAAAGTTTTTTGATTTATTCAAATCGGATACTTAGTTCTCCCAAAAACTGCCATGTTTTGCACAATTAGTTTGGTATCTTCAAAACCGCTGCACCTGCCTTTGCCAAAAACTAAACACGACTTCTCCCAATCATTACAAATTGAATGTTTTTTGAATCAATCAAATCGGATACTCCGTTCTCTCAAAACCTTGATTTCTATTTTTCGCACTCTTTGTTCCGTATCTCCGTAACGTAACTAATCAGCACATCGAATGTTTTTTGAACTATTCAAATCGGTTGATCCATGCGCCCGAAAACGTGGACGAAAAATTGTATTCATACATACATACACACACACATCCATTTTTTCTGAGGTATGCCAAAATGTTCAGAAACCTTCAAAACGTGAGGAAATGCAAAAATGTTCATTTTCGATTTTTTGCCCATTACTATAACTTACCCTAGGGGTAGTTAAAATGTCAAACTTTAGAAAAATCCATGTCTAAAAATGATAAACGTTATACAATAGTCATACTTACTGAAGCACCCTAGTGATATTTTATTAAAGCACAAAAAATCGATTAGAAATGGTGACTGGGCGCTTTAGAATTTATTTCAGAAGTTGGAAACTTTTTAACATATTAAGTTATAAAAATTGGTAAACCTAATGCAATATTTGATATCTAATAATAATGATGTTCCTAATGAGTAAAACAAGCATATATTCACAGTTTGACTATACTGAAAATATATAAAATAATGAATTTTCAGTTAATTGCTAATAGCATCTATTTTCATATATTAATTCCTCTGACATTTAGTGAATCTTTATGGTAGTAATATTTCAAAACGTATAGTAACAAAAAATATTCGTTTATTAAATGCCATTAAAAAACTGTTCTCAAACCCTGAGCTTCTAGAAATTTTTACGTATATTTACATATGAATATATTTGTGTGCATGTATGTATATGTATATGTGCAAAATACATTATGTATTTGCTATAAGTATGGGTGAAAAGAATATTATCTTGGAAATATGAACTGCACTTTTTTTAGCAATATTTATTGAATAATATTATTGATACTCAATAATGTTAATCTCAAATTCAGTGTACAAGTAAATAAATCACTTTAATTAAATATGATCAACTATTGTCATGTCATTTGTATACGATGTTTGAGAAATATGATCAGATATTTGATTAATGCAGCGCGAAAAAGATTGCAGTGTGTACATGTTCCCAAGATAATATAGTATGTATATTTATATATGTATATATACGCGTGTATGCGTGTGTGTATGTATGTATGAAGACACGTGTTAACATAGCCGCAATTTTCAAAAAATGATTTCAAGTAGTTTTATATAGTTTAACAATGTTTTTCTTTTAATGTACCTATTTGTTGTTTCTGCAATTAGTGTTACAATTTTTCTAAATAAATAATTGAATTAGTTTGTTTACTTTTAATTTTCTCCCGGTTTGCTGAATGATGAGCACATCTGATCAAAATTTCATTTTATTTTGACGCATCGACTACAAAACTTATTGTTAGAACAAAAAAAAAACATTGATATATATACACAAATACATTGCTATATATCCATAAATATTTAACTTCCCTCGAGTAATCGCAAAAAATTGAATATGAAAATTTTTGAATATCTTCACGTTTCAACGGTTTCTGAACATTTTGGCATACCTAATTAAAAATGGATGTATGTGTGTGTGCGAATAGAAATTTTCATCGACGAATTCGATGAAAAATTCAAAAAAATTTAAAATATGAAAAAAATATATTTTTCAAAAAGGTAATTTTTTTTTATGAAAATTTCAAAAATCTCAATTTTCGGTGCGGGAATTTTCAGCAATTTGCTCACAAATACATTGCTATATATACATATAATTAACTTCCTTAAGGGGTTGTTTGGGTTTTTTTTTGATTTTGAGATTTTTTGATATTATGAAAGCTAAAAACTTTAGAATTATTTAAAAAAAATCATCTCAATATATATATTTTTTTCACGAAGTTATAGATACATATATATATATATATATATATATATATATATATATATATATCTATATCTATATGTATGATCCTCTGAAACCGTTTTTTCATCGCTCCGCTATTGTATGCCAGCTGCTCTCTTTTTCATTATAATACTGCACGTGACCTTTTTAATGTGTCAGCATCTTTGAACACCATGGTGTATTTAGTACATTAAATTAAATGGTGTTATTTAGTACATTATATTA